CCCACTACAACTTCAGGACGCTCATCCCGAGCGATATGGCGACTACAAAGACCTCGAGGTCGGACCTGTGTGGGACTGTCAAATATGGAAGCTTATGCCGCTGAGGACTTACTTCTTGAAGTCCTTCAATCGAGGATCGGCTATCACTGGTTGTATCCGCCCAGGTCGTCGTGGACGTAGACCCCTACCATACCCCGCCGAGGGTCCTGATATCCCGTTCACGGAGTTTCTTGCGGAAATAAGAGGAATGCAGTCCGGTACGAAGCTATCCGAGTCGGCAAAAGCACTGGCAGTTGCTATTCGGGACGTTGAGGGTGAGCACGAAGAAGAATGGACAGCTGTTACTATCTCTCGAGGAACCGCAAACAGAATTAACAAACAACATATAGGTGCTATACCTGGGACTCCGGTAACGTTCAACGCCGGGATTAGCGACCATAGACCACCGGCCGAAGACGAAGATATTGGTGTGATTGGCATTCCACTCGTCGTCAAGCTGAAGTTGGGATGCCGAATAGTATTCACGAAGAACTGCCGAGGTGCTTACTGTAACGGTGACCTTGGTCTAGTCACTGAGATGCTGAATGTCGAGGGTGTAAAACAAGTCGATTATGGCGCCTTCGACGAAGCCTGCGAGCTATCAAGGGTCCCAGTGATACGAGTTAAGCTCGACCGTACCGGACAAGAGATAACTGTAGAGCCGGTCACCCAGACAGTGACCAATTATGACGCCGTCATAATTGGTTTCGCCTTTTGTAGTGCAGCCTTTTGTAGTGAGCCGTCGGCTCCCTCCTGTACAAACTTGCCTGTGGAGTTAGGGGCAGCTCTGACATGCCATAAACTGCTGGGATCGACGCTCAAGTACATTGTTATTGATCTGTCGAAGGATGACGAATATAAGAGCCCACACACAGTGCACATCGATATTGAACGCAGGCTGCGTGAGCCTTGGCTTTTTGGCGTTCTATATACGATGTTCACGCGTATTGGAAGCTCAAATCAAGTATACACTAAATGGGTAGGCACAGAGCGGCTCACTAAAAAGCTCGTGTTCTCTCCATCGGCTAAGAAGTTCGATGAGTTCTGTCGCGAGCATGACAGACTGAAGGTTCTGCACGATCGACAGGTCTCATCATGCTCAAGTCGGCCTTCTTCACCGAGTCGGATCCAGGAAGGTTCTTCTAGCGGGAATGCAGGGTCTGGACAAACTCCTACCTCCTCTGCAGTGTACGAGGTGAGTGCCGCCGATGTCAAGAAGATGCTAGACGGCTATGAAGCTCGTGCTACTGAGCGGGTATGTGATGAACTAATTAATATTGTTGTCAATGCAGTGCAGACTAGTCTGCTAGGCCGTACTCTTGGTTCAGGAGACAGTGGAGAGCAAAGAAGAATCCAGGACGCGCATGTCAACACGTTCATTGAGATGTCGAAGACCAATCCTTCCGGATTCCGTGAAATAATGAAAATGAACCCATCTGAATCTGTGGACCACATCCGCCGCATGCGAGTGCATGGGCAGGCCGACGCCTACCAACAAGACCCTGAACGTGCTGCGAGCGATGTTTCTGTGACCAACCTACATGCGCCTCCATCCACTCACATCGACATCGAGCGTCCACTGCTCTCTCATACAGAGGCGCACGACGGAGAGGAACTTTCTCCCGAACCTGCTCCATCGGTATTATGTACAGACGTAAGGCTATGCCGGCAGTGTTAAAACTATATCATTCTAGGTACTCACGGAAGATCATCCGGATGGCGCTGGTGACCTTCCTTCAGTAAATGGCAGTGCAGGTTCAGATTCTTCAGAAGAGAGCCTATTGGACGATGATTGCCCCAGCGATACCACCACCGATTCCGACGGAGATGATACTCCAAGCGGCGATACTGCTTCTGCTGGTTACGCCTCTCCTGAGAACGAGCGATGGGAGCCAGAAGCTTTCTGTACCATACGTGGAGATATTGATGATGTGCTGGCAACTTATCTGGTGGATAAGCCCTTCTTATATCGAGTGAAGAGTAGCAAGGAGCATCGTGGACGCCAGGAACTGCACCGTAGACGCCACTCTAATGCTGATCCTATCCGCGAAGCTGCCCGCGCAACCCGGCGTCAAGCTACCTGGCGGGGTTGGCCCGATGATCTCTGTCCTGTGAACCACATCTTAGTTGTCCAGCGTGGCCTCAAGCAAAATCACAAAGCCTTCTTCTACGGTCATAAGGCTTGCGGTAGGTCTGCAAGCGAGTGGCGTGGACACGATTATCCGTGGAAGACTTACAAGTGTCGGTCGACGACAATTCCTTCAACATTGGTGGACATCGCTGCCGAACAACTGCACCGCAATCCCACGCTGACACCCGGAGACATGAGAAGCATATAGGACAGCTTCTTATGTCAGTTAGCAGTAGCAGTAGCAGTAGCATTTACGCTGCAGAGATGTACTATGTACCGTGAAA